AATAAGATAACACCCCTGCCCTCATGGAGCTTACAATCTAGTAGGGGAAACATAGAACACAATGAACCAATACATAAATACAGGCTGTAATAAGTGCCATATCGGATATAAACAGAGTGGTGTGACAAGGATAGTTAACGCCTACTTTTTAGACAGAATTATCAGGAAAGGCCCCTCTTGTGGTTAAAAGCTGGGTTTGAAGCCTGGCTCCCCACTTACAAGCTGCTTGACCTTAGGCAAGTAACTTATCTGCAGATTCTGTTTCCACATTTATAAAATGGAGATAATCATATCAAACACAGCAAACGCTCACTACTGTTAATGACTGAGAACTCTCCTGTGACTTCTCAATGCTTTACAAGGCCCTTCATTTCTTACATACTTCTCTTAATATTCCTGAGCAAATCTCCAGCCACTGTGAACATTTTCAGTCCTCTCTTTACTTAACAAACTTCAAATCAACGCTCCTGTTCCTTCTCGTATGTTACTTCCAGGAAATTAGCTGCCTCATCGATGTGCTATTGTATCAGCCTCCACATAGGCTTTTACTGTTGCACCTTACTCTCCCTACGTCATTCATCTGCATATTCTACTGCAGGACAACTTTGGTGACAGTAGGTACCTATCCATCTTGTGTTCCAAGTGCCTGATACAATGCCTGGCACATAAAAGATCTCAAAAACTTGACTGAGACTTTTAAGTCAAAAGCTGTAGACGTGAAAGACATGGAGGAAAGGGGGAAGTCTGATGGAGGAAAAGTGCTGAAGATGACAGAAGAGTCAAAGGCCTACATCATCCTCTGAAACGAAATAAGGATGAAGGTGGACATGGAGAGAAATCATGCTGAAGTACTGTTTCTTCTGATGGAGTGCTGTGTGTAATAATTGATGAGAATGGGCAAAAGAGCCATGCAATGCCAAGGCAAAAAACAGATAAGTGACTCCGAGGGAGGGGTGTGAGGAAATGTTCAAGGCTGTGATGATGAAAGAGATGTCTAAGTTGGACAAGAAGTAAAGAGAGAACAAGGGCGGTAGGGAGTTTCAGTGAAGAAAAGGTTGGAGGTTAGATAATCAAAAATCTCACAGGCTAAACTATTGGGTGGACCACCCATAAGAACAAAGATGCTGAGAATACCACGAGCCAGGAGGTGAAGCCTTCAGCAAGTCAAAGGTCGTGCTCAGTCTTGGTACGAGCGGCTAACGTATAAGCTCTTAGCATAGACTGCACTGGGGCAGATTTTTGTCAGAGGCTTTGGGAGAAATTTATAAATTAGGATAGAAAGGGCAGCAATGACCACCTCTTGAGATATGTGGAATGTGAACACTGGTGGCACTTCAGGTGACAACCACATTTGTTAGGGCAAGGCAGGGAAGAGAAAAATAAAAAGGTTGAGATGCAGCTGAGCATGGCATAACAGAGGATGGGTAGTCGATTGGGAGTGACTAGAATACACACAGAATGAAGACAAGAGAAGGTGAAATGAAGGAAAAGGGAAATTTGCACTTCTTAAAGACTGCAGCAAAATGCTTTTCATTGACGCTTTCTTTCTGAAATCTCATGGTTAATATCAAATTCACAGTTGTCTCCCTCAGACTAACGTCCTCCTGTCTCCGTAAGTAGCACCATCATCCTGATTGCTCAGGCTTGAGAAACGGACTCAGCCCTTACTCCTGTATCCATTCACATGGAATCTTAAGTATTCCTTGAAATGGCTCAAGTATCCACTCCCTTATTCCTGTGGCCATGTCTGAAATCGGTTCTCATAATTTATGTCTAGATTCTCATATCAGGCTCCTAAATAGCTTACCTAACTAATACCACTTCAGTTCTGTCAGAGGGCTTTGGGGTTCGGTCTATTTCAGACTCCCAGGTCCACTGCAAAACTTACCTAAATATGTTTCATTTGTAAAATGGGGACAATACCATTTTCCTTCGAAGTGCTATAGCAAGGAATGAGACATTTTTATAAATTCTTGATTTTTTATTACTTATTAGCCCTTTGAAGTCTGGGATGAGATCATTTACACTACTGCATTTCATATACACTTACAAAACATACTGAATAAAAACCTGAATAGTTTATTGAAGGCTAAATTAAAAGGATACTCTAACACATTACTTGTCTTCATTTAAAAGAGTTAAGCTTTGAGAATTCAAAATACGCTTTAAAAGCCACTCAGAAATTTAAAAAGCAGTTGGGAAATAATCAGTGCGGTAGCCAATCAAGAAACTAACACACCGTAAACACCTGAAGATAGCAATCTGTTTTTCATTCCCCACAGCTGCCCTTACAACACCAAGATCTGACTGGAAACAGTCGACAAAGTGAAACAAATAAGCAAAGCCTGGCCCAGCTGCTGTTTTAGCCTTACCACATTTCCAGTTTGGGTTGGACTGCCCTTGGCTCAGGAGATCCTACTGGCTTTGGGGAGCTCAGAAAGGCCAAAAGGAGCCTACAGGAAGAGGAAAAAAGAGAGCTGGCTACTAAGGGCTGGCCCTAGGCACAAATGATTTTTTTTTAAGTGTCAATAGTTTCTAAGACTGAAAAATGTAGCTTAGCAATGGGCTACTTCACAGTGCAAATAAAACTATGTGAAATATCACTGGGAGAGCTACACACAGGTGTTTCTGGAACATGTCAGATATATTTGATACTGAGACAGCCCAGGAAAATCTCTGCCATTCACCTCCAAATGTTAGTCTAGCTCACCGCAATTTTAGGGTCAGAGGGCAGAGGGTCTTAGTTCAGATACCTGCTTAGAGAAGAAAAGTGCATGTTCTTGGAAAATACAGTCAGACAGCTCTTCTCATACCACATGGTTCAGGTATAAATTAAAATTAGTATATCTACTTGCAAAAATGACATGAAGGAAAAACCAAAAGTGTTCATATCCTTGACCCAGAAATTCACCTCTAGGGATTTTTCCTAAGGAACATGCATGCACAGACACTCAACATTATGAGATACACTCTAAAATATCCAATGGGGAAAAGTGATATGGATCATGGCATAGCCATACAAAGTAATATCACGCAATTAATAAAGGTTGACATGGTTTTTAACATGAAAAAAAGTCTTCAGATTGAGAAAAAGACAAAGATACAAATTGTACTGAGAATGAATAAAACTATGTAAAAACAAGTACAAAGTAGCAAAGAGACTGGCAAATATGCAAAGATACTAAAGTGTCCCTCTCCCTGTAATGGCATTATAGGCTGTTATTATTTTTCTTTATACTTTTCTCTGTTGTCTAACTTTTCCACAATATAGATGTATTACTGACATAAACAAACAAAAACATTATTGAATCAGGAAAGCATTAAAGAAGAATGGGCATTTTTATACAGCTTTATTTGTTTCTGCTAGGAACTAGCGTGGTTCCTAGCAACAACAAAAAAGTTTACAAACCAGTCATTTGACAGTAGCATTGACTCTTAAAAAAGCAGAGACATTCTTAGTCTTTTCCACTATTTTCACCATGTTCATGTAAAACTATAGCAAAAAAATGGTGAATCGGAATCAGATCGAATCTGTCAATCATCCATCTCAATGCCAACTCCAACCTCCTGCCATATGGATCAAGGGCCACTGAATACAATGTCAAACCCAAGTTCAAAGGGCACACTGCTCTACATTTTTCAAGGTGAAAAAATTTAGGAAAATAAAACTGTTTACAAAAAAAAGAAAACAAAACAGAACAGTTGAATTCTTTTTAAAAATTCAGTTGGGGGCTAGAGAGAAATGAAGAGCATAACTAAGAATTACACCAATGCTCTGTAAAATTCAACTTTAGTTAAAAAGAAAAAATATAAAAACTAATAAAGACTTTATTGGCAGAAGAAAAAAACAACTGGTCACTAAATCATGAGTGTCCTGGATTGATCTGAAGGCAGAATGTCTGAGAGGTCTGAATCTCCAAGTCAGAACAGTGTCTGTGAAACACTTCACCTAAAATGCAACACCTTACCTTTCTTCAAATTCCTTAAGATTCCACTGTACAAAAAGTAGTTTTACACCAAGAGTTATGGGTCAACTTATTTTATACTCACAATCTCTCATCATGATATTTTCATTCTAGCTTTCCTGAAACGCACTAGATAAATGGCACATAACCTAAATTTACCTCTGCTGTTTCATTAGGCCTTTATAGCTGTCCTAGGGCAGATGCCAGGTATTTACAACTTCTGAGTAGAAATGGAAGTAAAATCCTAAAGTAGCTCATCTATGGGTCAGAAAGTTAGTGAATGTAAGCAGACCGTAGATGTGAACCCATATTCAGCACCAATTACACTGCCAGGAGTTACCAAACCAAGAAAAATCCTTAACATTTCTATGGGAATAAAGACAAGAAGCAGGTTGGCAGGTGTTTGTAAGAGACCAGTAACTGTAGATCTTTTCCTTAAACAAGGTACTCCACATAATCACCGGTTGGCTGACGTCCAGGCAACAGGAAGACGACCTCCTCTAAAACTGCATTATACTTGATTAAACAAAAAATCTGAGCTAGTAGAATCGACTGCTAAAACATCAGGGTCTTGGTAAAAAATATTTAGTGACCACACTGAAAAAAAGATAATGGCTTAATAACCATGCTGTTGTCATGAGGCCAAAGGCATAAAGAAAAGTGCTCACCTTCAAAGATACATACACAAAAGCCCAATTCTAAGATTATAAACTTAATAGTGATTTTTCAAAATGTTAAGTCACCTGCATAATAAATTAAAAATGTATATGTAATTTCAGTGGAAAGATCCAAAAAGGTACACCAAAACTGTTCAGATAAAATATCGAAAAGGAAACAAATCACAATTATAAAAACAGAGAGGTATCCATTTCAAGAACCAAGTCAATATACTAACTTCTATTAATATTTTCATTTACCTTATAAAACTCTGTTGGCTAAATTGGGGAGGAGGAGTCTCTGAGAATCTAAAGGGTAACAAAATGATAACAAATATACATAATTTCTTTATTAACAAATTATATCACACAAATCAAGTTACTTGTTCTATCTGATTACAGAGTTCACAGAAATTGCATCTGTATTTAAAGCAGCAACATAAAATTTTACTATGAAGAAATTCTGTATCTGGACCAAAGGACTGTAACATGGATTGGAAATCTAATGACAAGACAGAACTGGCAACTATGGTGCAACTACGGCAAGTTTATTTTCCACGGTTTTAATAAGCAGCTCTCCAAAAAGGGGTTATACATTAAGGGGATGATGTAGCCAAAGAAGGGATGATACAGAAAATCACATGATCTTAAATCAGTACAAAAAAGACCATGAAAACTTGAGGTGTAAAAACCAAGCACTAACAAGTCAGCTAGCTCCCTGGAGTTGCACCAACCCTGAAGTAATGCGTCCCTGTTCTAACTGACATTGGTACTCTTTACCCGGGCACTTCAGCTTGAGAATCATTTTACAAAAAGGATTTTATCTTTAAAATAGAGATAGCTAAACATTGGGAAAGTACTAACTCCTTGAGAACTAGAAAATTATTTAGGACGCCAAATGAAACAAAAGAAAATACAGTGGTTTTTAAAGTGGGGTTCAGGCCTATCCTAACCTCTTCCTTCTTTAAATTCAAACATTTCTAATTCTGTTTTGTCTTTTGTGGTTTCAGGAAAGATTTCTCTTTTAAAAAAAGAAAAAGGAAATCTGATGCCATTCTTCTCTCTCGCTATTTGGGTTTTCTTTAAATTCAGAGATCTAAAATATATTTGCTTGGTTAGTGTTACTAAAATCTGAAAAGTTTCAACAAAGATTTGCATATTATTCTATAAAGTAAACGAGCAAAAGAAGTCCTTAGGAACAAATTAAACTTTGCTATTCCCACCTCTCCTAAATCTGTTCTTCCATTGCCTCCAAGCTCTCGATATTCCTGGACAGTATGAACAAAATTCTAATAAACATTCCAGCCACCTTACTCCAAAAACATTTCTTTCAATGGCTGCATAGAATTTCTTTTTTGAGAAGGCAAGCCCCAAATTTATAGCAATCTCTAGAATGAGAATGTTCAATTGACAAAAATAACACACATTATGTCAGGGTAGAATCTGCGTAGTGTTCTTCAACATACTCGGTAATAAAGAGCAGCCAGATCCTAAAATTTCTCTGCATTCAGTAGCAAACAATATCAACGTGTAAATGACAACTAGGGAAAAATGCATAACACAAAGGCCATTTTTCTTTGATGGAATCAGGAAGAAAAGTGGAACCCAAGCTTTGGCCACTTATCAAGACTTCATCAGTTCAACAAAATAGAACAAATCTCCGTGGAAATGACTCATTTTGGCAAACGTAACTTCTTTCCGTATATTTTTCCTTCACATCAGGTTAAACAAAAGTCATTTTAGAATCATTTATTACATCTTTTTAATTAGAAAAAAGTTTACTTGAACATTTACATGATTTTATTGCTGTTTATTAAAACAAACAAAAAAAATGTTTAACTGATTTGTAGAATCCATCCAGTTAACATGAAATTGAAATCCGTCTCCCAGGAAGATAGTTAATGGCTGAACACATCTGATGCTCAGAGTACAGCACAAGTAAGAAAAATCCTGTGTGTCATCTGGTTCTTGCTGCAGTCATGTGTGTTCATCTCTCAGAAAGCAAAAGAATCCATTTGACGTTTCAATAAATATCAAAGTAATTGTTACCAAAAAAATAGCTTCCATGGACCAGAGATCCAAGAAAGTGCAGTTTTGATGAATGATTCCTAGAATCGAGTGAGTCCTCCTTTAGTCCAATGAGATGATGTCAGGAATGTTACTTCCACTGCTGGTTATGACCCCTGTCTCACTCCTGCTGCTGGATGAACTAACATGAGTACTGCTTTCATGGGGGCTGGTGGTGGTGACAGACGTACTGCTTGCTGTTAAGGGTGAGGTGAGACTATCCAAAAACATAGGAGGACAGTACTGCTTGAAACAAACAATGATGCCGATGAGGAAGAGGCTACATTGATTTTAAATAGAGACTAGAAATTGTTAGATATGCACAAGTGAGAGCCACATATTTAAATCCCAAGGGGATTTAAAACTTTCTCAAAACTTCACATCTTTGGATGGAAGGTGGCATGAATTTAACTATATTACATTATTTAGTGAATGTAGCATATTCTTGATTCTCTCAAAACTTGCAGAATTTGTTTGTTGACCAAATATATAGGTACAATTACAAAAATGTCAACAATATTTAATAGGAAATATGAGCCCCACAATCACAACTCATAATTAACCTCAAAAAGATTGTTTGCTAAATGTACTTACACCAAGTTTAAAATCACATTGCAAAAGGCTAGTAAATACTTATTAAGCAAAAATGCTAAGGCAATATTCAAGAATTCTTTCAAAATTTAGTATCAGACCGTTTAGGAATAATGTTAAGATTGATCAGCTAAAGAGTGGCATTTGACTCCTTTGTACATACATGTAACAATACCTGTGTAATTGCAAAGACAGCAGTCATTCTAACATAGAGACAACATGGTAGCTAACTACCACGTGATACTCAGAACAGAGAAGCATCTCACATAATCACAAAATTTTAGAATAAATCTTGTGTGTGTGTCTGGTATGTGCCTCTAGCAGGAACAGAACCCAGGACTCTCTGGTCCAAAGGCCGACGCTCAACCGCTGAGCCAAACTGGCCAGGGCTGGAATAAATCTTAAAGGAGAGCTAATCTAATCTTCCTTGTATCGTTTCCTTGACACCTCTCTCCAAGAGTTCCTATTTTGTTTCTTTACCAGCTTTGTTGCTCATTTCTAAACAAAGTCAAGCCTGAGTTTAATACTCTAGTACTGACCAAGAAGGGGAGAGAGACAAGAGCTAAAAGTGTTATTTTATATCAACGCAGAGTATTTTATGTGAGAAATAACTGCACTGAATTTAGTAAAATAAGAGGTCCAGTATATACAAGAGATGTCGGAAGTTTATCTTCAGACTGTATGTATGCAAGATCAGTAAGGATGTTTGATCAATCTTTATTCTATAGTCAGCTATCATTAGAGGTACTAAGTTACAGAAGAGGATTTAAAAACTGAAGTTGTTGAGATTACATGATCTTCAAAATGATAACGTGAACTGACAGCTTCAGGTTTGAGCTGCTAGTCAGTGAAAGAACAACTAAAATTCAGCTGCTTTCAAAAAAGTAATTTAACGTTTCAGATGGATAACCGTCTTGGATCATCATCAATAAAAGGAATGTCATGCATGACAAGACTCAAGGGATACTGGTTAAGGTTAAAGGGGAAAAGGAATAGTTCTTAAAGAGTTCTAAAGAAAGTTACACTTTCAGGTATTAAAATTCTTTAAGAGCAAATCAATTTACTACTTTCCACTAAAATTGGGTAAAGAATCTGTAAAAAAGGCCTGAAATTTACATTTTATTTCGCCTACCTCTCAGGCAGTTTTTGACTGCATAGTAGTAAAGAGACTCTTCTTCATTTATAAAATAAATGCTAGATACTACAGTTCTGCTATCAATAGGCTCGATGCCTTGAATTATTATACTCAGGTTGCAACCATTTACCTCTAACTGTATCCTTTGTGTGTAATCAAAACATATCTACACAAGAAAACGGCAATATGGAGGCAAAGTAAAATAAAACTAAGGATTCTAAGGAAAACTGAGGCACAACCTCATTCTTCTATTGCCTTATCAAATAAGTTAGCCTGACACTAAACAGCACTATGACATCAGAATCCTCTAGGTTCCAAGGTAATTTTTTTAATAAAGGATGGTTCACATTGAAAAAATATTTTAAGCCTAAAGAATCCATTTCCTAGAAAAACATGGATATACTTTTGCTATAGGTAGAATCTACAGATGACACAAAGTCAATTCAGGGTGAGAAGAAATTCTACATTCTGCACACATTACCTTGGGGCTAAATTTCCATTGTTTGTGTGATCAGATACAAACAGGAGGCATAAAAGACTTGCAGTTAGCTGATACTGAGCAGCCTATGAAGCAGTGGTCCATGTTCTTCCTCTATTCCCTTCCTACTTTCAACACCTCTCTCAAAGCCTTTCTCCGTTTCACTTTCCCCTTTGGCTTTCCGCATGTGTTTCCCTCCTCTGCTCTGCCTCTGTTCTAAGCCTGTCACTGGAGGCCATGCTCACTGCAAGGTCTTCATGTTGAGACTCTGGGATACTAGAATTTCTTATCTCTGACAGAGAAAATAAGAATAATTGCTTTATAGCAACTTTAGGTTGAGGCATCCCCAAAGTCTGAATGTGATTGTCTTTAAAAACAAGGAAGACACGCCCTGGCAGGTTTGGCTCAGCGGTTAGAGCGTTGGCCTGTGGTCTGGAGACCTGGGTTTGCTTCCCGCCAAGGGCATGTAACCTGGGTTGCAGTTTGTCCCCGGCCCTGGTTGGGTCGTGCGGGTGGCAGCCACTCGATGTGTTTCTTTCACGTCGATGTTTCTCTCTCTCTCTTCCTTTTTCTCCCTCCTACTCTATCTGAATAAAAAATGGAAAAATGTCCTCGGGTGAGGATAAAAAAAAAACAAGGAAGACTCAAGATAATGATTCAAATCAGTTTAATCAGCTTTAGCTATTTTTTTCCGTATAGAATAAGTGTTTTACAATTTCTGTAAAGTTTTAACTTCTAGTCATCTAGCACCACTTCCCCTCATTTTAATCACTCAAATGCTTGTAATAAATGCCAGCTGGTTATTAAACTAAATAAAATATAATTTAAAATTCAGGTATTAAGGCCAAAACATCATAAATTGGAAAACAGCAACTTTATTTCTCCAAATAAAACTGTAAAATATTTATATAGTGCCTTCTTTGCATCAATTTAACTGAGTTGACTGTCCTGATTTTATGCAACTGGTCATTTTTAGTTAGTATGACATAAGCAACAATCAAATACAAATTAGTTGCTTAAATTCAGGATACATACCTGGGGATCAACTGGAATAAGGGAAAGAAAATCCAAACCTAAAACAAAAATGCTTTGTTAATAGTTGTCTCATATTTTGGAGACAAGAATTATTTCCCAAAATCATTTTATATTAATCAAAAGCCATAAAACATTTGGGGTGCTTACCATTCTGCAGTACGAAAGTTCACAGAAGCAGTGCTATTTAATGTGTATAAAACTCCAAAATGAACATATTCCCTGACAAAACATCTGAAAAAAATCACTTCCCAGAGACTCAAAGGAAAGAGTCCAAAAATTTCCAGAGAAGTAGGACTAGTCAAAGCAAACATTTCTTTGCTTCATCACTTAACAGAATGAGAAGCAAAAATGATGAGATGATCTGGATATAAACCATTAAAAAAAAAATACTTAGGCTCTTAAGATACTTCACATTTATTTTTTAGAAATACACTGAGCTTCATCTAAAATACTACTTCTTAAACACGTCTATTTCATGAAGTGCTCTCTGTCCCCGTTCCCACATCAAGAGCAGCTCACAGTTCCATGTTCTGCACAAAGCAAGCACTTGGTTATTTCTGCTAACAAACTAAATATTATCAAGGCTTACTGGGTTATAAGCCAATGCAATTTTCTAAACCAAAGATGTGAGATTCTCCAATTAAGCTTTAGAAACAGGAATGTGGAAAAGGTTGCCCAGTATACCATTTCGAAACATTCGTGTTGTAACAATAAATAATTTAAAATTTCAGGTCTGAAAAGACCACCAATAAACTTCCAAGTCAGTTCCTCTAGACTTCTCTGACTAAATTTCAAAACATTAAAAAAAACCCAAAATCATACTAAGTATAGGTAACTAAGACAGGTGAATTTTTTTCAATTCTATAAATTTCTATTTGCTGGCATTCAATGTTGCCTTAAATAACAATCATACAGAGTAAAAGTCTGATACTAGACTGTTCCTCAAAATAGAGATTAATGGGAATATTTAAAATATTTAATAACCAGAATAATTTATAACTCAAAATTTTAAGTATATTTAGTCCCTTATAATATCTAAATAAGCTATGCTTAAAATGCTTACCAAGTGATAGAAGCTATAGCACCAATCATTTAAAAGAAATCATTTCTAGAGCATATAAAAAATTATGATTTTTCATTTTGTATGTCTGTCAATAGCTATATGACACAGCAGGGTATGACCCAACAATGGACAAAGGGAATCACAACAGACTTTTCCAACTTCCATATTAAATTGGTAATCAGTAGGTGACGTAGCTCCATACGCAATTTTTTTTTTCAAATTAATGATCTTGTTCAGTAAATCCTTTCTCTCCTTCTATTGAATACTAATTTAAAATTTGTCTAACCCTTATAATACCTTCCAAGACTTTTATATATTCAACATCTCCATTACTGACTAAGTCACAAAAATACTTTATTAGCATGTCATTTAATTGGCTTAATTTTACTAATTTTATTTTGCTTCAAACGGTGTAACAATTTTTTATAATAGCTTCTGCTTCTATAGTTTATTTAATTTTATATGTTCAATTATGTTTAATGTTTGCTAAGTCACTCACTCAGTCCACTTGAATAACAAACATTTTTATAAAGCTAGGGAAGTACTGCTCTCTCTGTTGGAATATTCATATTGAAGCCAAATCACTCAAAAATGCTCATTTTCTAAATGTTTTAACAATTCCCATCTCAAAATTTCAATTTAAATAAACACACAGGCTTGATGTAATTCTCAAACTGTGTCTTGTGGTTTGTTTTTGTTGCAGCTCTAGCACTGAAGGCTACCCACTGAGGTGCAAAGACTCCTCCTATTTTCATTATTTCAATTCCCAGCTCTTTAGATGTACTGTAATTCTTTATTATTTCATGTGTGCCAGTATATATATACATATATATATATATACACAGTCTATTGATCTAAGAGATTTACTTGATCTATATCTTTTGACACCTCAATGAATCAATGAATATGGTGACTTATACAATGAATAGTAAAATACCTGGACATTTTTTAAAAATCTTGGTTGAAGTTCTAGACTGTCTCCCCAGCATTACACAGATGCCATCTATACAAAATCCAGTAAGGTTCTAGTGTAAATATTTCTCACTGAAACAATTTTTTCTCAAACACTATCACTAAAATTTGATATATTTCGTTATTCCTTCCAATAAATTTCATTAGCAAAATGCTGTATTTTATTTTAAGTAGACTATTAAAACTCATATGAAATAGATGAAGTTTCATAAACAGTGATTAATGTTACTTCCTTGTTTTACAAGTTTAGCAAAATCCTGTTTTCTTATTTCACCGAAAGTTTCAATTTAAACAATAGGTAATATTGATATATATATATATTTATGCCCTCCTAAGTATTTCATGGTTGAAAATGTGCTCGATTATTTTTAACTAAACAGCAGGTAGTGTTAAAAACTCTGATGGTACATTCTAAATGTTTGTTAACACTGTTAAAACTGTAGCTTTTAGATTTTAAATGTGTCTTTATGTGAAACTGACTCTACCTGTCTTATTAATAACAACACATTTTCCTTGAGCCATGAACTTGAACAAAACATGATTGCTATATGATTAAATATGTAAATGTTTAGCACTTTCAAATTTTAATGACACAACTTTTGAGCACCATTCACACCTGACAATATGTCAATAGTAATAAGGCAGTCATATTTTTTCTTGAAATAATCAAGCTGCTTTCCATTCCATAAATACAAATTATGTTTTATTTTGAATTCACTGTTGCACAGTATCAGAAGATGTTCCAAGCTGCAGTTCATTATTAATATCATTTCTTCTTTGTTCCCCTGCAGATTCAGAAGATTCATGTTTATGATGTTTAAAAAGAATGTTAAGAAATGTATTAAAACTTTGTCATGTCTTCATTCTTGGTGCTCTATTTAATATTTTATTATAAATAATTAAATTTATAAATATCAACTCTGTACAATATGACTAATTACATAAAAATTATGCACAAAAATAAAACCAAAGATAATTACTAATTATAAAATAGCACATTAACAATGAAACCAAAGTAAAAACTAAGGTATTTAGGTGTAGTAACTGTTACATGAATGACAGATGATAAACTGGTAATTCTTATAAAGTACGACAGATCCTATTCTATTCAGTTTATCAAATGGTAGAAAGCATTTCAACATTTTAATAAGCAGTATCACCATATTGGCTTATATTGGCTAAATATCAACCCTGAATATTAGTCTTAATTCCTTAAATACCAGGCTTGAAGTGTATTTTATGAAATATATAGTTAACATATTTTACTGCATTTTTCTCAAATCTGCATATTTTATAAAGTAAATAGTCTCAATTTATAGCCAAATTTTGAAAAACTGTAAATTCTCCAAAGTTAAAAATTCATCCATAATCACATAATTTGAAAACTAACAGAGCAAGTGATTTATAAATTGTGTCTATACTACTGCTAAATGGTCAGAATCACTTTAGAAAATGGAACGTTTATCATCTTTTTTCAGGATCAATTTTTAATTTAAAGTCTTTAGGAAACAAATCCTTCTGGAATGTTTGTTTATAACATATACTAAGATGACATGTGGATACTCTTCAACTACACTTAAAACTAGCCAAGGTTAGAGCAAAACATGGCAGTTAGGAATTAAGAATCTCCAAGTTTCTGTCTTTCTTATGGACCATGAAACCTCACCTATACCTTAGCATCAGGTTTCATATACAACAAATACTTTATAACTAGTGATAGCTGGGTTTACAAACAATTTTTTAAAATACTGATCCCTAAAGTACATATGGACTAAACATATTTTTTTTTTTTTTTATCCTCACCCGAGGACATTTTTCGATATTTTGTTCAGATAGAGTGAGAGGGAGAGAGAGAGAGAGAAACATCGACGTGAAAGGGACACATCGAGTGGCTGCCACCCACACGACCCAACCAGGGCCGGGGACAAACTGCAACCAAGGTACATGCCCTTAGCGGGAACCAAACCCGGGTCTCTCCGGACCGCAGGCCGACGCTCTAACCGCTGAGCCAAACCGGCCAGGGCATGGACTAAACATATTTAAGACGTAAACGGTATTTAAAATTTTTTTTGATGGATACTATTTTCAGTCTATTTTTTTCCATTAAATTTTATTTGAATTGGGCCAAATAATAAAAATATCAACTGTTTCAAAAAACACAAATTTTGCCCAATAGAGTACTGTTCTCAAAACAGACCCTGAGAGTTATTCAAAAATAACTTCAGAAATCTAGGAAATAATACATAAATAGAGGAGAAAATTTTATTCCACTAAAAGCGCCCTTTAGAGAGAAGGCATGAAAATTAAAAAATAATGGTTGTAATTGGTTCACATTTCATTGACAAAAAAATGTCTGCAAAAATGTTGGCTAAACAGAGAGGGAAGGAGGGGGCGGGGCAGTTAAATTTATAATACAGCCTTGCTTGCACAAGTCTTGGTACTAGGGTTAATTCAAGCAGCCTTGAATATTTTTAATGTTGAGATAATATGTGTATAAAAGATATCCCCAAATATTAAAGCAGGGCTCTAGGGAAACAGTTGGTAGATCCTATTTTTACAGGAGGAAAAATCCATAAGGTAAAGATATAGGCAACACTCATTCCACAGTAGACCAGTATATTTTTTAGTTGTGATGGGCTACCAAGATGAGTGTCAGAAAGTACTCTCTCCCTAACCTGTGAAGCTTGCATAATAAAATAAACCAAGAAAAAGCCTGAGTATAAATTCTCTAGAAGGAAAATAAATTCTACAAAAATTTCCTACTATCCTACTATTTTTCTATTATCAGGAATCTAAAGATTGCTCTGTAGTTAAAATGATAGAAATTAAATATGATATAGTAAAATAGACACTACCTTTATATGATGCTTTCAAATTTCCTTAGCATTTCTATTTAAAATTATAAAACTCTGCTCCACAGATTAAGATTAAAAATAAATGATAAAACTTGATAAAAAAATAACTCTTCACATACCTGGCAAATCTGATGACATGCTTGATATTGGCGTGTGGTGGAATGGTACTGAGTAGTCTGTTAATGAAGGCGGAATAGCAGCTGGATCAACCGAAGTCACACTGGGCACCCTTACAGAAGATGGCTGATACATGAGAACCCTGTTTTAAATAGCATGGGAAATTACAAACAATCTGGCTGTTAGTTCACAGGAGAGAAGGGCTGTACTACTGGGAATTCTCATTCACTAAGTTTCAGCACATCTATATGGCAGCTACTCACTACACAGCATTCCACTCTACTCTCCTCTTTCATTAACAGTCTTCATTTTAACATGAATGTATGTGGGCTCTTAGCAGCTGTGATATAAGAGAAGTCAGCATTAAAACATAATGTACAGTGCTGGAGTAATACATAAAATGTTCACCCACAAATAGAAATATACTTTACATATGCTTTTATTAATGTGTGTAACATATGTGGATATTAGTAGCTTTATCTGTAAAGAAAAAATATATCATAAGAAACCCAAAACACTAATTTGAAAGAATATATGCATCCTATGTTTATTGCAGCATTATTCACAATAGCCAAGATCTGGACATAGCCCAAATGCCTATCAGATGAACAGATAAAAAAGCTGTGGTACATTTACACAATGGAATACTACTTGGCCGTAAAAAAAATTGTATGTTTTGTAACACCGTGGATAGACCTGGAGATTATTATGCTAAGTGAAATAAGCCAGTCAGAGAAAGATAAATACCATATGATCTCACTTACATATGGAATCTAATGAACAAAGTAAACTGACAAACAAAATAGAAACAAAGGCATGGATACATAGAACAGACTGTCAGAGAGCTGTCAGAGAGGAAGAGGGTTGGATGAAAGGTGAAGGGATTAACCAAAAAACATATATACATAACTACAGACAAAATAGAAAAACACAACAGTGTGGTGATAGCCAAGTGGAAAGGGGAGTGGGAGTTAGGTGGAGGTAGGCAAAGAGTGGGAAAATAGGGACACAAAGAGACTTTGCTTGGGGCGATGGACACACGATACAGTGCACAGATAGTTTTATTGAGCTGTACACTTGAAACCTGTATGGTTTTGCGAACCACTGTCACCCCAATATAGTCAATTAAAAAATTTGGAAATAAAATAGAGGACTCCTAAGATATGATTTAAGTCAGGGCAACTTATGAGTGAAGCTACTTATGTAGTTCAACTAAAATTTCTTCCATTCTGACTTGAGTTGTGTTAATTATTAGCACTCTTATCTGGGAGTCATGTAAGCAAAGAGCCAGTCCTAAAGCCTGCCAACCTGATGACAATAGGCAGCAATCAGAAATTTTAAAAGATGACTACTCAGGATTTAAGATATAATAGCCAGTATTAAAAATGTTGGCTACCATAATACCATCTACTTTTCTAAAAGGTTTTATGGCTTTGAAATTAAACTCACTTAAGAAACACTTTATAAATGATATTATATATATATACACCCAATATGTATATACAATTATAACTATAATTTTAAGAAGCACTATAATTAAACATATTTTTTTAAAATTCAGGAATAAAGAGATAATTTTGCCTTCTTCCTATTAAACCCTCATTTTGTCTTTGCTCAGCATAAACAATTACAACTTCACAAGAAAAACATCTTGAATGTACAAAAGAAATTAAGTAATGTTATAAACCCTATGGCTGATGGTGGCCAGCTTCTTGCCTGACATTTTTGTGAGGCTGCAGTGGTAGCAACTGCTCTCTGAGCTTCGTGATGCCATCCAAGGATGACAAGAAGATAGGAGCCATCAGCCAACAAAGATGAAGATCCAGTGAACAATCTGGGGACAAGGCCAAAAAGAACTGGTCCAAAGGCAGAGCTTGGGACAAATACAATAACCTTGTTTGACAAAACCATGTATGACAAACTCTGTAAGGAAGTTCTCAACTATAAGCTTATAATCCCAGCTGTTGTCTATGACATTTGGCAGTTCCCTGCCCAGGGCAGCCCTTCAGGAGCTCCTCAGTAAAGGACTTACTGAACTGGTTTCAAGCAGAATTCAAGTAATTTACACTAGAAATAACAAACGTGGGATGCCCCAAAAGCTACTAAGGATTCACAGGTCCCACCAACTATATCTTTTGAAAAATAAAACTTTATGAAATAAAGGGGAGGTGGCTGGGAACATGGAGCATTAGGTTAGCATCCCATAGCACTGCCAGAAAACTGTAAGCTTAATGAAAGGCTCAGAATTCTGTAGCTGGATGGGACCACGACAAAAATGAAGAAAGTAAAATTGACAGAAATGTAAAGTAGGACCATGGTCACAAAGATAAACTGAGATGACAACTAGCACCTCTAGATGTCCTTTCTCTTGGTTGAAACACTTCCTGTTATTGCTCACATTATTAAATACTAGTTAACAATAAATAATGACATAGTTGCATGACACTCTTAATACTCTGTAAACAACAAAACTATTTCATAACCTCAATTTAAGTCTCAAGCCACTTAAATAATCACAACTTATGTAGACACTTGAATCCCCTAAAACTAATTTGCATTATGACATGAGGATCTTGTATAGTTGTTATTCTTTAGTATATCAATAATATGAATGTCACTGGAAAATGTGTAAAATAAAGTCATCCTGAGAGTATGTATGACTGTGGCAACTGAGTTAGTATAAAAAAGATGAATAAATAACACAAGTCAGAGTTCAGAAATCTTAAAAATAGATCCATTTAGGAGACATAGGAAATATAATATGCTTGAGACAATAACATAAGTCTGTTATTTCAAAAACATTTTCCAGACGTAAGTGAAGATGAAAGGAAGTCATCTTCCAAAAAGTGGCCTGATTAGCTTAGAATCAGAAGGTTTCTTGGCCTCCAATGATATCTGGAGACCTAACACTACAAGCAGGAGGTGAACAATGTCAGAAAAGGCAGACTCTGGAGGCAGAAAGAGAGACCGTGGGATGAGAGCAAATAGATCATATTAAAGCATGTATTTTTCTGGAGCTTGAAAAAAGTCATACTCTACAGGAATGAAAGTAGAACTGAAAAATCTCCAAAAGTGTTCTCAAATTACACATGCTCCTACTTCCCACACAGAAATGGGCACCAGAAATTGAGGGAGGGGCACAGGAGATGAGAAAAAGAGAGATTGGTATTATGTTAGAGACCCTTATATGGCTTGCCACCAGAGACAACCTCCAAGACCACATTAATTCATGAGTCAGCATCACTATGCACAACTTCAACCTGGTGGAAATCCATCTAACTATAATACTGTGAAATCTGTATTTTCCCACCATATTCTAAAGAATGTCATTAGAAAGTAAAACATGCAAATACCACATCTAAGGTCAATTTCATAATTCTCCACTCTAGCAAATGTTTCAAAATTATATTTTCATTTTTTGTTTAACATTTAAATTATAGAAGTGCCAACAAAATCGTCTAAAAGGAGAAATAAGTTATCAGCGTTCCAGAACAAACTCACTTGAAATACTTTTCTCATTTTCTGTTCCACTAAAAAAAAAAAAAAAAAATCAAATTCTGGCCCTGGCCGGTTTGGCTCAGCGGTTAGAGCATCGGCCTGCGGTCCGGAGGGACCCGGGTTCGGTTCCCGCTAAGGGCATGTACCTCGGTTGCAGTTTGTCCCTGGCCCTGGTTGGCTGTGCGGGTGGCGACCACTCGATGTGTCCCTTTCACATCGATGTTTCTCTCTCTCTCTCTTCCTCTCTTTCCCTCCCGCTCTATCTGAACAAAAAATGGAAAAATGTCCTCGGGTGAGGATGATAAAAAAAAAAAAAAAAAAATCAAATTCTGATTAAATGGGCAAAAACTACATATACCCTTACTGTGATGTGTACATCATATCTGGAACTAGATATATTTTAGTAGTGAACAAAAGGTTTAATTTTCCTGGTTTCAAAAGTAACCATAAAACAAGAATGTTGTGAAAGTACACTGAGAATATAATTCCATTTATACGAAACATCTAGAACAGGTACATTTATAGAGATACGAAGATGAATGGTGGTCTAGATTTGGGATGTGAATGGGAATAAACTGCAAATGCACATGAAGGGAAGTTTACTGGGTGTTGGAAATATTCTGCAAGTGAATTGTGATGATGACTGTACAACTCTATGAAGTTACTAAAATCAGTGAATTGTGCAATAGAATACTTAAGATGGAAGAATTTTATGTTATGTAAATTATACCCCAATAAAGCCATTAGGAAAAATAAGTGCACCGAGAGGCCAAAATGACAATACTGGCAGGCACACCCAGTCTGAAAGAATGTGTTCATGGATGTCGAGAGAACCCTCTGCTACTTTCTTGCAGGTTCTACAATTTCTAAGAAACATCTATTGCTAAATACTCAAATCTGTCACTTATTATAGGTCAGCCAGATGAATCATAAAGAGTACATACTAAAAGACATTTAACTTGCCTATATTTTGCCCTGGAGAGGGTGAGAAAAGAAGGCAATCTTTATTGAAAAACTACCATGTGCCTGACACTGAGGCTTTATTTTCTTTACCTTATTGAAACCTGAAAATAATCCCATAAGTTAGGCATTTCTTAACCCCATTTTATAGAACAGAAAAAGAAAGCTCGAGCAAGTTAAGTATTTCACCCAACATCACAGAATGAGTAAGCAATGGTATCAAAACTGGAGTCGACACTTGTTGAATTCCTAATTCCACACTCCATTACACCAGGTTTCCCTTCTGTTGGTCTGTGATACCAAATTTGCTACTTACATGAAATACTTACACATGAGAAGATTTCAACTCTCACTTCCCAAAGATGAAAATATTTTCTTCATTAAAATATTGAAAATATTTCAACTGAACAAAGGCAAACTAAAATAGCCTTCTATGATTATGCAACTCTCAAAGAGGCATTTACAAATCTATCCCAGTAACAGTTAGTTCCAAGTATAATAAACAGTAGTGAATTATAAATTAACAAACCCTTTGGTTGGGCTGCTTTGTGTTTCTGACATAAAGATGCACTTCCTTTTGGCAGGAGGGTCTTCCTCTTCATCAGAAGAGCTTTCTATTGTTAGGTCAATAACATCCACTTTCTTCTTGCTTGCCTCATTGGTTACAGTCACTGAACAAGGCTTACTGAGGACACTTGAACCTACATGTAGGGGACAGGAAAAAAAAAAAGACCAAAGGTGTGACACAAACTCTAGCCATAGGAGTCTTAACAGTGCAACATGCCTGGGAGAACACACAGCCAGTAAAGCCACATAGTCTGTCCTATGGAAAGAGACCAATTCCCTAACTCCAGAAATATCTCTGTAAAATGACTACTAACCTGGAGAGACAGGGTGAGCTCTATGCCTTGACAGAAAGCCAAAAGCCTCCTTCAAACATGCTCTTAGTTATCTCTCTGGTATTAATGGATATGAACATATCTTGCTGCTCATGCTGTTTCCTCAATTAAGCAGTCATTTTATAAACAGACATCTGGTGTTAGTGGACTGATCTCCAGCCATGAACAATAATACATGGTTTCACTGACTGGCAGTGTTCAGTCAGAGTCAGATACTTCAATTCTAGCAAAGCAAGGGTAAGCATGTCAAAGAATGCATAGGCTCTCCACCATAAGCCAGAACTGATAAAAATTTCCACCTTATGCCCAACCAGTGTGGCCCAGTGATTGAACGATGACCAATGCACCAAGAGGTCACCAGTTCAATTCCCAGTCAGGGCACATGCCCAGGTTGTGGGCCAAATCCCCAGTCGGGGGGTAGGAGGGCATGCAGGAGGCAGCCAACTGATGTCCTCTCTCATTGATGTTTCTCTCTCTCTCCCTCTCCCTTCCTCTTTTTCTAAAATCAATAAATTTTTTTAAATAAATAAAATTTCAGATGATTGTTTATTTTACATATGAAAAATAACTATAAAAAGGTTGATTACAGAATGGTATAAACTCTGGCACATTTCTTAAGGAAAGAATAAAAATTAGTTGGGGGAAATTACATATGTAATAGATGATCAAAAGGTAAAGTTATAAACTGAGCTCCAAAGGTAGTTCCAGTGGTCAATGTTAATGATAAAGATAATGCCGCAGGAGTCTCACTGCTATACTCTCTGCTGCCATTCTGCACATACTTTCTATTTTTGTACACGGCTGGCTGGATACTTTCATAGCTTCTTTCTTCGGTCTCATTGGACACCAAGAGCCATCTTCTTGGAATTTGATCTCATCCACATCAGAACAGTCACTGAGAATTTCCATAAAAAGCCTATAAACCAATTAAGTAAATAAAGGTCATCAGTCGCCTTGGTCAACGTTGAAATTGTAACAAAAGAAATGCTTATTACCTTGGAGACAAAACCAATGCTATTTGACTTCAGTTTGCTTTGGTATTTCAATACTTCAGACTTCACGATAACTATTATATCCCCTTCCTCCTAGGTTTTAGATCTTTAATGGGCAATAAAAGTATTAAGTGACTTACTGAGTCATCTAAAAAATTAGTGGCTAGCCCAGCCAGTGTGGCTCAGTGGCTGAGCATCAACCCAAGCACCAAGAGGTTGCCCGTTTGATTCCTGGTCAGGGCACAAGCCCAGGTTTCGGGCCCAATCCCCAGTGAGGGGAATTCAGGAGGCAGCCAATTGATGTTCCCTCTCATTGATGTTTCTCTCTCTCTCCCTCTTCCTTCCTCTCTCTTTAAAAATCAATAAAGAAAATAGTAAAAAAAATAAATAAATAAAAGCCTTGGTAGCATGCAAAACAGCTGCCTCTCAGTGTCCAGCACTGATGTGCATGATGGCAGAGGAACATATATAACCAAAGGAGCTGGAAACACAGTTCAGGAGGCAACCAATTGATGTGTCTCTTTCAAACTGATGAATGTGTGTGTCTCTCTCTCGCGCGCTCTCTCTCTCTCGTGCCCTCTCTCCCTCTCCCTCCCATTCATGCTCTCTAAAAAATTCAATGTAAAAAACATCCTTGGGTGAGGAGTAACAGAAAATGAAGAAAAAAAAGAAGTTCTAGGTAAGCAAAATGAATGATACCACTAAGTGGACTTTCCCCCTCTTTAGTACAGGCTATGAAATATGATCTTGGGAAGCAAAACGAAAAGGAAACTACTCTCCCTCTTGCTCCCAACAGAAATCATAAAGATAAAACAGCCTCTAACCACAGTTTAAAAATAAGATTGAGTATAATTAAGTATAAAACAGAAAACACACAAACATCTGGACTTTATGCTAGAGAATTTATATGAGGCTGTACTGAATGGAGTCAAAGCTAATATTTACCCATCTAAAATTAGACTTTCATAGGCAGCTTTTTTGTCACACACAGGACAAATCCAGGTGGGCTTCTTCTCATTCATTTGCAGATAAAGGGCAGCATCAAAACACTGTAGATGTGTACAAGTCACTGCTCGGCATGGGATTGTCAGCCTCATTTTCCCTAACTACAGGCAGGAAAGGAAACATGGGAAACCATTTCAGAAAGGAGAACAGAACCTCAAAAGAAACAGTCAGTCATAAAAGTCTGAAAAAGCCATACAAGAAGATCAAAATGAAAAAGAAATTCAAACCAGAATTTATTCCCATCAACACTGCTGTGTATTTTTATTAGTATTCACTGATTGCCCTATAATTTTTAAAAAATTACTTTATGAAAATAGGTAATGTAAATTCACAGGCAGGAACAGATCCATAACAATGTAAAACATGTCTTCGTCAACTGTGCCCCTATTTAGAGAGAAACATTGTTATCCATCTCTTCCATGCCCTTTCATAGATGTTCTATGCATAATCAAATGTTATAATAAAATATTTTAACATGAATGGAGGCATACAATACACAAAATTCTTAACCTTCTGTCACATAATATATGTAACTTGTTGACCTTTTCACAAATATCAGTACCAAAAAAGCTACCACAATATGAAGATGTCATAATTGATATGAAGTATATGACATCAAGGATCAAAACGTATGCCCAAAGGTATGCACAAAGCTTATGATTAAAGGAGTTCCTGGGGCTTCTGCCACCACCTCAGGGGAATAATGTAGTCTACTGAGACTACAGACTTCTCTCTGGGTTTGACAACAACAGGTTCTCTCAGTTTCTAAGCAATCCCAATTTCATGTAATTCCATTCCTTTTCAATAAAGGTAAATTAGATTAAGTTAATGATTAAAAAAAAAAAAAAAAAAAAAAAAAGCTTCAGAAGAAAAATATCTGCAAATACCATTTTCCAGGGTGGTAGAGAGATGGACTTATAATTAGGATACTTATATTTTAGCCTAATGTAACAATATGATATATATTGTTAAGAGAACTGGAATGATGCCAGAAAAGTGGCTATTCTTGTTCTACTAGTTACTACTGTGTGACTTGGGTTAGCCAATCTTTCAGCCTGTTTCTTCATCTGCAAAATGGGAACAACTCCCATACAGGTTTGCTAAGGCAGTTAAACAAGGAGCATATAATAGAAACTCGACAAATTATTCCCTTCCCTCCCTCTCTCTCTGAAACAATTCTCTATCCATTTAAAACTGTACAGGGTGTGTCAAAAGTAGGTTTACAGTTGCTTGTATGGAAAATAATACAATAGTTAATTAATAATAATAATACAAAAATAAACTGTTTTGTGTACTCACAACTGTAAACCTAGTTTTTCCCTGCCCTGTATTTTTATCACAATGGTGGCTGGTCACCAAATGCCTCCCTAAACTACATTTTAAATTCCTGATTCCATATAAAGTCTCTCTCATATGAAAAGGGTCCCCTCCAACAGTACTGATTTTTAAGAAGCCTTTATCCACTATTCCTGATCTTTCCCATCTCTTCTCTGGTACTCAAATAGTACAAGTATACTGGGTAAGTACGGTCTTTTGCTTTTTCATGTGAATTGGTTTTCTCTCTCAAACTAGACTATTACTTTCTGAAAACTGTTTATCAAGTCCTCATTGTTTTCTCCCACAATTAGCTTAATACCAAGCCACAGGAATATCTGAGTTGCTGACTGACTCTCTCCCAGTCTCTATGTTAGGAGATATAAAAATTACTGTGCAATTTAGAAGTACATTACAAATCAATTAAGACATCTCACACATTCTCATTAAAGCAGAACCATCAATTAGCATTTATTAGGCCCTAGCAATTTTATTACCATTTATATTTAGATAAAAGGATCAACTCTATATGTTTATTGTTAACTGTGGATTATCTATAGCATTAACTGCAACAGATTATTCTGAACCTAAAAGCTCCCTTCCCCTATGATAAAATATCCTTTTAGGTCTCTCCTTGCTTAGTCACTGCCTGAAGAATGTTTGCATTCTTTGGAATTACAATGCTCAATCATGAAGATTCCTGATCAGGAAAATAACAAAAGTTCAAAATTCTAACATATTATTCATTCCCACACTTACTTTTATAGGAAAATTAGTGATTTATAAAAACACCCCAGAATGTTTTGTTACTTTACTTACAGGGCACATCAAGGATACCCGAAGGCTAGTTGTAGCAATTTCACTATCAGGATCTGCAGTAAGTTTTTCTTTAACTTTAAAAATAAGGAAAAAATAATAATAAAAAGGTTAAAAACTAATTGTGACATATGAACAGAATTACAGAAATATATATTATCTTATTTAAAGTTTCCCAAACACTTTGAATAGGTCAAGAAACTACAAAAACAAAACAAAATGTTAAGTATTCAAGTATCGAAAACACAATCATAGTTTTAGCATTAGGTTAAAGAATTGCAAACTCTATATCATACATTTAATTAAAATTTTAAAAGTAAAATTGCAGGTAAGAAGAGTTTCAAAATAGAAAGCTATTTAAGATTTAAGAACAAAACAATTAGGAAGGGAACCTGGAAAGCACTAGTACTCTGAGCTTCAGTGCTATTCTAACACACGTTCGTGACTCTTTTTATTAGGAAGTCTCGGTTATTTCCAATAATTACTAAATTTGTAAACAGAAAAGTAAAATATTCTTATACTTCCTTTGACAACTGAAAACTACTATGGATGTGGTAATGTGTCTGCAATTTTATTCACCAGGTAATGTAAACAAGTTACTACATGCGGAATCTAATAAATATATGCATCACCTTCGGATGCCTAATTCTCCACATTATTATAGGGAGAACGGAACTGGAACCAGAGCTAGCAGAACTGGAGTAGGGCAAGAAGAGTTAGGGAAGAGCTTCCCTGGCTTCCAGGTCTAGGCAAGAAGATCAATACTGTGCTGTTTGAGATGAGAAATGGTTTGAGTTATAAGAAATAAATACCATTTCAAAAGCTCTACGTGGCTCCCTTTTCAGTCTATGTATCCTTTTCTCCTTTCAGGTTCATTCAGTGGTACGGGAAATAATTGGGGGAGTAAATATTCTCTTTCCCAGAAAAATGTCTTGTTCAATTAAATTCAGTTGCTAGCCCTAGCCGGTTTGGCTCAGCGGTTGGAGCATCGGCCTGTGGACCAGAGAAGTCCGGGGTTCGGTTCCCGCTAGGGGCACGTACCAGAAAAAAAAAAAAAAAAATCAGTTGCTAAACTGAATAATCTGCAGTTGGGTTAGACTTTTTTCTCTACCTACTATATATTATGAAAGGAAAGTACAAAATAAAACATCTCAGAAGACAGATATTGTTGGTATATATCAGCCTTTCTTTAGCAAAAAGAGCTTTTTATTATTTAGAATTTTTTTAAGTGTACATTCTGTTAAACACGGGAGGTTTTAAAAACTTGCATGAACTTGATGTTTATTTAAATAAGTTTTCAAGAGAAGGCCCAAAATCAGACTAGCTGAAATTTAAAATTGATCCTCTTGGGAGTAGTTTCTGAGAGAAGGGTTTGTTTTTTTTTCAATTTATAGGGCTGTGTTCTTGGAGTGTTTTTAGTTCAATATTCATTTTAGGTTTCTAATAATTGTTGCTAAGTTATATTCCTATATTGATGTATATGTGAGGCTTTTTATTCCCTTAAAGCATCTCATATGCTCAATCTTACAAACATTACTTACTTAGTGCTCTGGAATGATCAGGGTTTCTAATACCTTTCATTTTTAATCTCTGTAATAACATGGCTGATGTGAGCTGTCGTACAAGATATACAGACATGGAGTAATTCTACAAAGAAAGATAATCTGTATTAAAGACAAGAGATAATAGTCTCTTTATTTACATAAAATACTTGTCTAAGAACCTCTGGTTTCTAAAAATGACATTCAAAATAACTTCCACAGGAAGGTCAATGACTGCTAAAGAAACAAAATCAGCTCCTTTAGGGAAGATAAAAGCTCAATCATATTAAAGGTATCTCAATCACTTATCACTTTAAAGCATCCATGTGAAAGATAACATAGGTTAGATCAGTGGCTTTCAAACTGTGTTTCTAACGCAGCAAAACTGGTACCTTAGAGACAATTATGGTATGAATAAGAATGTACCCTCTCCTCCATGCTGACTTCTGACTAGAATTTTTCTGTTTTTATGTATAGGCTCACATAATATTTTCACTGAAAAATGGGTTCCATTGCAGAAAGTTCAAACACCAGCGATCTGAATTAACAATTCAAATCCAGAGTTCTAAAAATCTGATTCTGGCAAAAGAGACCACTTACTTCATGGCCTTCAGCAATCATTTAAATGAAACCAAAAATCAGCTTTCTTCTGAGAGACGCTCTGACAAATTAACTGCTGTTCTGAAATAAGCATTTTACTAGAAAAGGGGAAACTACTAGAGTATGGAAGGCACATGAACAAGGTTAAAAATCAAAAAGACAAGGCCAGAATATAATAGCGTCAGTCCCATACCTCTTAGATCTGTCACAAAGGAACCTTCATTAGCTATTTATAGAGCTATAAAGGGATGAAATATAATTTTACCAAAATGATAAAAATCTATCTTACCATTACACTACATATATGAACTCAATCAATTCTACAATAAAAGACTTTTAGTAGTTGCCAAACCAATTTTTAAATATTATTTTTAATGTCCTGAAAGAGTCCTTTTAAATATCTGAATACCCAATATAGCATGTAAATTTTAAGTCAATTAATTATTTTAATTACAAGGAATACTGTTCCCATTATGTGGCAAAAAAAAAAAAAAAAAAAAGCTACCCAGTCTTCAATGTCTACAATCATTTATTCAAAAACCTGAAAGTTAATAATTATTTCAAAAAGATACACTATTCTGTTCAAATTCCTCTCACTAAGCTTTAAAGCATTAATACTCCCTCATTTAATAAGGTCCCCTACATTTGTATACAACACTCATTCTCAAGTATTACTTATTCTTTATGAGTATGCCTCAGGGAATTAAGCAACTTTGGCAACATCAAACAATGGCCAACTTGGGACTAAGCCAAGATTTGCTGAATCCTTATCCAATGCCTTAACACTGCACATTCAGTTCATGCAAGTGACAAATACTAGAAATCAGTACCCTATGATAATACTGATAAGTTATAGTAAAAATTCAGAAATAAGAGCTCAAGACAACAATCATTAAAGAGACAGTAACATCTTTATAGTCCAAAAATTAATATAAAAATACTCTTCTTTATGTCCAGCTCTGCAATTGCCTTGGTAATAAAACCAAAAAATTCTTGCTACAAACATATGACTCAACTTCTCTATCTATAAAATAGGAAATCGTATCCTTTATTCCTATGAAACAGCAACATTAAAGCTCATGTTCAGAAATTAACTGAACTTTTTTGCCATTCTATTATTTCAGTTATATGAACATTAAATAGTTCTAAAATGACAATCCCTTGTTGTACTAATCAGTATCTCATAAGATAGTTTAGACTAAGAATTTTAAGACTAAGAATCAGCAGAAGACCAGTTCATCAACTAAAGGTATAGAGGAAATAATATAATTCTAAGTCAATGTTTTCATAAGATGCCCACTGCTTCTTATGTAAAGGCTGGAACAGATTATTTCTCATTACAACATGAGTACATTTGACTATTTTCCCCAAAGCTAGTTAAAGCTTCTTTGTTCCTCTTCATAAATATAAAACATCACCCAAAGTTTCCAGTTTCTTAACATACTACAAAAACACAATTGTGATTAAACCATTACCTTAGAAATATTATAATTATACTTATTTCCTTTCCAGGAAAATAAAGAGAAGATACTCAGGAAACCTTAAAGTTTTTAACCTTAAGAATCTTCACACCTCCACCCTTAAATTGGAAATTACTGCTTTTTAGAGATTAAAATAAGAACACAGAACAAGCTGAAGCTAGTAGCCTAAGAAAAAACAAAATAAATCAACTCCTAGTGGGATTACTTTCATGTTTCCCAGAGGAAAGAGTCTTTACCTTTCCAATTTCTGATGCCCAAGAAATGGAAATCTGGTTTGGCACAGCTGAAGATAACCTAACTAAAGATGTAATATTCAAAGGGCGTCCAGGGCGCTTCTGTTCAATCCCATTTTTAGGTGGTGGTGCATAGCCCTATAATCATAAGAAAGAAATTTAAATAAAATTCTCTGTAGATATTAAATATTTTCTCCAAGACAGATACAGGATCTTGCCTAATTCCAGTTACAGTAATTATTTTTATTTTATACTGGAAAGCACACAGTCCTTACATTAAGGTCACCAATCTGAAAGTGGAAAACCATCTTCTTTAAAAGTTATAAAATATTTCTTAAGTTCAGAAAACAACCCCCCCCCCCCCAAATCCATGTTCCACCATTAAAATGAAAAATGCCAACATCTTGCCATATTGGTTATGAATTCAAAATGCATTCACAAATACTGGGGGTGGGAAAGAAAAAATAAACTTTGGGAATTAAAAAAAAAAAGAACAAATTAATGAATTTCAAAGGAATTCTTAAAATCTTGTGAATGATAACTGGTATTAAATTAACTTGATGGCTGTAATAATTCTGCTATTTATGCTTTGTTCCACTTTTCTTGTCATCAAGTATTTGTTTTAAATAGCAAATGTACTTTTTGATTTATAGCATATCCAATTTTCAATTACCTCAGAACTTTTCAGTTTGTGATTTTTAAAACCAAGATAATACAGTTTATAGAAAATTAAAAATTCAAAGCTGCAAAAATATCAATATATTGAAAAGTAGATATCATATTTTACTAAATGTCACGTCACTGATGTAATTTAACTATGCACCAATGAGAAGGAAAAAACACTAAGTTAATGGTACAAACGAGTGTATCGTTACTTATTTCTGTATATTTAGCAAGGAGATATAAGCAAAATGAATTGGGTAACATATTCCTTTTGGATAAGAACCTCCTGAATTACTTTTTATTCAGTCATTAGCAAATATGTTTTCCACAGCTCTGGAGATAAAAGTATTCTATATATTTATTTTATTTCAATATAAAACTATACCTCCACCAACATCTGTTAGATTTTCTTGCAAGTCACTGACACCCTTACATTAACTGTATGTGTTAATGCTGATACACTCTGGACCTTATGAGAATATATCAATCAGTGGTTTCCAGACAACACCCTGGATTCATGAACCTTCTTCAAAACGTACTTAAATCACTTGTTGACTGAAAAACCAAAGGAAACTAACCAGTCATACCATGGAAATAACATCAAGGTTGTACAAGTACAGGCAATTACAATGCTAGATTTTAGGAATGTTAAAAATATGCACCTTAGAAAAAAATGAAATACCCTATTGGTGGTATTACACAGCAGAGCTAAGGAACACATTCTGTCTATCACACATAGGGAACATCCTTCACTGCTTCATAGGAGACAGAACAGTAATTATTAAGTGGGAATTCACGTGATTACTTATAATCTACAACTTCCCACAAGACTTTGAAAATCATTACAAACAGTTTGTGCAGGGGAGTATTAGACAAAAGAACTTCCACTATACTATGAAAAAGGGAAATGTGTGTGTGTGTGTGTGTGTGTGTGTGTAGGAGGGTTATGCTCATCTAAGGTTGTTCAAGTAAAATAAAACAAACAAAACACTCATTTAAAAAGTCCTCTTATAAAAACTCTAGGAAATGGTTCAATAAGCAACAAGCATGTGGAATATAAACACCAAGTCTAGGTAAATGTTAATGAAACCTTTGTTTTTCCTGTATTTGGTCTAGAAGATAATTCTGTCTTCTGGTGTGTCCACTGGTAGGTTAACCAAATAAAACAATGGCACAGGATCTGCCAAGATGATAAAAACTCATGAACTAGCTAAACAGTAAACTCTGTAAACTGGAATTTGAGACATCAAGAAACTGTGTTTTAAGTTAGTCTGACAGAGAAAGAGAAAAGTAACAGGAGGTAAAAGAATAACAACAACTACAGGAATGCGGTATTAGCAAATTCAAAATCAAGTATGGTACTACTCTTAATCACAAGTTTTTAAACGGACTCTCTACCCTACTTCACTAATTGGATTTCACTGGTGATTCTGAGTTATCTGTTAACATGTATTCTCCTTCTGATCATCAGCATCACCTCCATTTAAAATCCATTACTTAGTTATTAAGAATATAGTTGGAGCCCTGGCCAGTTTGGTTCAGTGGTTAGAGTGTCAGCCTGCGGACCAGAGAGTCCCGGGTTCGGTTCCCACTAAGGACACGTATCTCGGTTGCAGTTTGTCTCTGGCTCCGGTTGGGGTTGTGTGGATGGCAGCCAGTCAATGCGTCTCTTTCACATCGATGTCTCTCTCTCTCTCTCTACTCCTCCTCCTCCTCCTCCTCCTCCTCCTCCTTCTCTCTCTTCCCCTCCCCTTCCCTCCCACTCTAAAGATAAATGCAAAAACAAAAAAAATGTCCTCGGGTAAGAATAAAAAAAAAAAAAAAGAATATAGTTGGAAAATTTAAAAATATAAATACTTAACCTCCACATATTTCTAACAATTTCCCATATCTTAAGCAAAAATAAAATGAAGTTGATTTGACAGAGTACCTCTGAACAAAATCTAAACGTTTCTAACTACAGGCTGCTGAAGAGCCAGTGAAAGATTTGGTTTTAGTCCCACCCAATCTAACATTTCAATAAAAGATATACTCAAAGAACCTTTTCTGTTACATGCTATGATGACATCCTACCTTACTTGTAATTCTGACAAAAGTTAAGTGCTGTTCCTTTAGCATCTTCTAATTAGTACTACTTTAATACTACCAACATAGATTTACTTTTTTATTTTATATTATAAAACTTTTTATATATAAAAGTTGAGAGAACAATAAGTACCTACCAACCAGCTTCACTAATTATCAACATGTTGCTAATTGTACTTTGTTTGCTTCTGGCCCCACTGTCCTACACCAAAATACACATCTCACACATACACATATTTGGTGCAAATTCTAGACATGCCACTTGACCCACAGACACTTTTATATGCATCTTTATTAAGACCTTAAAAAAAAGTATCACAACCTTAAAAAACTAACCATAATTTTTAAAAATTTATCTAACATAAAGTTTATATTTAATTTTCCCAACTGCCTAAAAATTCTTTTATTTTTTTATTATAGAAAATTTCAAACATATACAAAAGAGAGAAAAAAGTATAATAAACTCCCACAGACCCATCATCCAATTTAATTTACTTATTAGTCTTTACCTACTCTACACACCTCCTGCTGAGTAAAAAGCAACTTACAGGCAAAGGAAAAAGCTTCCCATTTACTTTTATACATAAACTATTGGGATAGTTATCTTCTTGAGGGCAACTTGTCTCTGCCAAGCAAAGTCTGCATTAAAGAAGAAAAAAATAAATTATTCTTAAATAGTATACTCAAATATGCTTATGTATTTTCAAATTCATGACTACATGCACATAAGTAGCAAGAGTTATTAAAGTAAAAGAAAATTTCAAACTTGCCTCAACTGAACTTGGACTGTATAATCTCTCCTACCACCTGGCAAAAAATCCCTGTTGAAAAGAAAAATTGGGTTAAGAAAGCACGAGAATTCACAGGAAAAAAACATCATTAGTATTTTTATTCTTAGTCCTTAAAAGATGAATACTAGCTTACCAAGAGCACAAGCCTTACATCAAAACACTGTGGTGCCCAGCCAGTGTGGCTCAGTGGTTGAGCATCGATCCATGCACAAAGAGATTGCCTGTTCGATTCCGGTCCGGGCACATACCCAGGTTGTGGGGGAGCATGCAGGAGGTAGCGAACTGATGTTCTCTCTCATGGATGTTTCTTTCTCTCTCTCTCTCTCTCTCTCCTTCTCCCTTCCTCTCTCTGACATCAATAAAAATAAATAAAAAACATTGTAGTGATAACCCTCATTTACTTGACATTTAATCAAGTCTTTATGGTAATTTTAGGGTATTTTCACTTCACAGGATCTTTCACAGGGCAATATACATTTCAATAAGCAACAAAATTGGTTAACATGAAAAGGAGCGCCCTAGGTCTAAGAGATAAATACATTTATTTGCTTACAGTGGTTCTTAACCTTGGCTGAGAATTCTAATCACTTGCTAAATTTTTTTTTTTTAATATAAAGACCCATTCACCAGATATTCTTATTGGTCTGGAGTACAGTCTGAGCATTAGTAGTTTTTATTACTCAGGTGATTCTAACATAGAACCAAGATAAAGAACTGATGCCTAGAGTCTCAGTATTTCTATACCAGAGATTTTCAACTGGTGTGCTGTAAGAATTTTTGAACATGCAATACCTGACTATTTACTCAGGGGCACTGACTTCTTTTCCCTTAAATTGTCAAATTAAAAAATGACAACAGTCACCCTGGCCGGTTTGGTTCAGCAGTTAGAGCATTGACCTGCAGACCAATGAGTCGTAGGTTCAATTCCAGTCAAAGGCACATACCTGGGTTGTGGTTCGTCTCCAGCCCTGGTCGGGTTGTGCAAGAGGCAACCAGTTGATATGTCTCTCTCACATCGATGTTTCTCTCTCTGTCCCTCTCTCCCCGTCCCTCCTTTTTCTATTTATCTATCTGAAGATAAATAGGAAAATATCCTCAGGTGAGGATTAAAAAAAAAAATTAAAAAGAAAATGACAACAGCCAACACAACAGTAGCCTTCTGGTATGAATGCCCTGTCTTGAATCATAAATATACAGGTCATATTATAGAGCTGCATCTTACTGGTCACGCCACATAATAAGGTTGCATCTAATTTGGTTAATTATTGGTACCAGAAATCCTCTTATACAAGTACAGGTACCTGATTCTTATTTATTTATTTTTTTTATCCTCACCCGAGGACATTTTTTGATATTTTGTTCAGATAGAATGGGAGGGAGAGAGAGAGAGAGAAACATCGACGTGAAAGGGACACATCGAGTGGTCGCCACCCACACGACCCAACCAGGGCCAGGAACAAACTGCAACCGAAGTACATGCCCTTAGTGGAAACCGAACCTGGGTCTTCTCTGGACCGAAGGCAGACGCTCTAACCGCTAAGCCAAACCGGCCAGGGCTGATTCTTATTTTTTTTGTTGTTGTTATTAATCCTCACCCGAGGACATTTTTCCATTAATTTTTAGATAGCATGGAAAGGAGGGAGGGGGAGAGACAAACATCAATGTGAGAAAGACACAGCGATTGGTTGCCTCCCACACAACCCTGACCAGGGCTGGGGATCAAAACTGCAACCCAAGTACATGCCCTTGACTGGGAATCCAACCCAAGACTCTTTGGCCCACAGGCAAACACTGTAACCACTGAGCCAAACCGGCCAGAGATACAGGCACCTGATTCTTTTTTAATGTATTTTTTATTGTTGATATTATCACAGATTCCCCTATTTCCCCTCAGTTCTTCCCTCCACCCAGCCCCCAACCCACCCCACCCCACCCCCGGCTTTCACCATACTATTGTGTCTTTGGGCTATGCATATAAATTCTTAAGTTAATCCCTTCCTGTCACCCCTCCCCCTTCCCCTCTGAGATCTGTCAGTCTGTTCCATGCCTCCATGCCTCTGGACCTATTTTACTGGTTAGTTTATTTTGTTCATTAGATTCCACAAATAAGTGATATTTGTCTTTCTCTCACTGGCTTATTTCATTTAGACTAATGGTCTCCAGGTCCATCCATGCTGTTGCAAAAAGTAAGAGATCCTTATTTTTTATAGTCACATAGTACTCCATTGTGTAAATGTACCACAGTTTTTTAATCCATTCATCTACTGATGGGCACTTGGGCTATTTCCAGATCTTAGCTATTGTAAATAATGCTGCTATGAACACAGGGGTGCATATATTCTTTCTGATTGGTGTTTCAGGATTCTTAAGATACATTCCCAGAAGTGGGATCTCTAGGTCAAATGGTAGTTCCATTTTTAACTTTTTGAGAAGACTCCATACTGTTTTTCATAATGGTTACACCAGTCTGCATTCCCACCAGCAGTGTACTAGGGTTCACTTTTCTCCACATCCTCACCAGTACTTGTTTTCTGTTGATTTATTAATGGTACCCATTCTGGTAGATGTGAGGTGATACCTCATTGTAGTTTTAATTTGCATCTCTCTGGACGTTTTCATGTCTATAGCTGTCTGTATGTCTTCATTGGAGAAGTGTCTATTCAGGTTCTCAGCCCAGTTTTTAATTGGATTATCTTTCTTTTGTTTGGTTGTATGTGTTCTTTATATATTTTTGAAATTAACCCCTTGTAAGATATATCACTGGTGAATATATATGTTCTCCCATACTGTAGGATCCCTTTTCATTTTTGTGATGGTTTGTCTCTTTTGCCATGCTGAAGCTTTTTAGTTTGATGTAGCCTCATTTGTTTATTTCTTCACGTATTGGCAAAAATTCTGCTACATGAGATGTCTGAGATTTTGGTGTCTATGTCTTCTTCTAGGCCTTTTATGGTTTCGCAACTTACATTTAAGTCTTTTATCCATTTTGAGTTTATTCTTTTGTATAGTGCAAGTTGGTGATCTAGTGTATTTTGCACATATCTGTCCAATTTTCCTAACATCATTTACTGAGGAAACTGTGTTTACTCCATCGTATGCTCTTGCCTCCTCTATCAAAAACTAACTGACCACCCTGGCCAGTTTGGCTTAGCGGTTAGAGCATCAGCCTGCGGTCCAGAGAGACTCAGGTTTGGTTCCCGCTAAGGGCGCGTACCTCAGTTGCAGTTTGTCCCCAACCCTGGTGGCAGCCACTCGATGTATCCCTTTCACGTTGATGTTTCTCTCTCTCCCTCTCCCTCCCTCTCTCTCCCTATCTCTCTCTCTCTCCCCCTCCCTCCCTCTTCCTCTTTCTGAACAAAAAAAGGGAAAAATGTCCTCGGGTGAGAATAAAAAAAAAAAAATTAATTGACCATAATAGCATGGGTTGATTTCTGGGGTTTCTGTTCTGTTCCACTGATCTATATGCCTATTCTTGTGCCAGCACCAGACTGTTTTAATTATAATTGCTTTGTAGTATAGTTTGATATCTGGGATTGTGCTCTCTCCACCTTAGCTCTTGTTTCTCAAAATTGCTGCAGCTACTCAGAGTCTTTTTTGTTTCCATATAAATTTTTGGAATATTTGTTCTAGATCTGTGAAATATGCCAATGGTATTTTAATAGGGACTGCACTGAACCTACACATTGCTTTGGATCTGTGGACCTTTTAATGACACTGATTCTTTCAATCCATGAACATGGTATATGCTTCCACTTGTTTGTATCTTCCTCTACATTTTTCCAATCTCCTATAGTTTTCCAAGTACAGGTCTTTTACCTTCTTAGTGAAGGTAATTCCTAGGTAGGTATCTTATTTCTGTTGTTGTTGCAATGGTAAATGGAATTATTCAGTGATATTTATGAACTTACATGCCCTCATCTGGGAACTTGTTAGAAATACAGAATCTCTGCCCGGCCGGTATGGCTCAGTGGTTGAGTGTTGACCCATGCACCAAGTAGTCGCCTGTTTGATTCCCGGTCAGAAAACATGCCCAGGTTGTGGGCCTGATACCCAGTGGAGGGCATGTAGGAGGCAGCCAATCAGTTTTCTCTCATCAATGTTTGTATCTCTCTCTCCTTCTCCCTTCCTCTCTCTCTAAAAATCAATAAAGAACAAAACAAAAAAGAAATACAGAATCTCAGGCCCTACCCTAGACCTACAAAATTAGAATGCATTTTTTTACAAGATCCCAAGGGGCATGTATGAACAATTTTAAGAAGTATTTTCCTTAGTCATTATCATAAATCTTGGAGAATAATCCTTTCTTCAGAATATATTTATCCCTCATCTTGCTCTAATTGGGCCATTCTTCTCAGTTTTCAATTCTCTATGTTCACTGGAAGGCACTAAAGCACAACAGGGACCAGCAGCTTGAGTTATACAGTCCCATGCTATCTGAAACTGGACAAATTACTTAACCTTTCTGTGCCTCAGTTTCTACATCTGTTAAAGATGGAAAATTACTACACCTATCTCATAAAGTTATAATGATTAAATGTGTTAATAATACATGTAAAGAACCTTAATACAAGAAAGCGCTCTAGCCCTGGCTGGTCTGGCTCAGCAGTTAGAGTGTCAGCCCACAGACCAAAGAGTCACGGGTTTAATTCCAGCCAAGGTATGCACTTTGGTTGCAATTTGTTTGGGGTTGTGTGTGAGACAAACCAATCAATGTGTCTCTCTCACATCAATATTTCCCCCCACCCCCATTTCCTCTGAAAATAATTGGAAAAAAATATCCTCTGGTGAAGATTTTTAAAAAAGTGCTCTACATGTATGAGCAGCTGGCTACTATTACTGCAAACTTTGCTCTCACTGTTTCCCTTGCCAGTGGTACCCTCCACCCTTCTCAAAGGTCTACTCAAATCATCTCAAAAACTAGACAATAGAGACCTCTAATGAGTAACCCATTATCATTCCACTCATTCAAATCAAGAAACATTTCGGTCTAGGTGCTAGAGATAAAGATAAATAAGACATTTTTGTTTTTG